TATATATATATATATATATATAATATATATATATATATATATATATATATATATATATATATACATGTATATACATGTATATACATGTATATGTACATATGTAAATATATGCGTATCTAGTTTATAGATGAAATATTAATCCGGAGTAGAGACCGATGTGCTCGTGTGCCAACGTGGACCGTGACTTGACTTTTATCTGTTCAGAACATTTGGCTGCAAATTTATTGCTGTTGTGTTTTCAAATAGTATATAGTCAACTATTTACAAACGGCAATTTTGGAAGTAGTTGTCTTTCGTATCATTTTGTGAGTGCTCATCAGGCTTTCGATTGTGTCCGGCGTTGTGCTATGAACGACATATACAAGGGACTGGCTTGCCCCACATCATTTAAGATAAAGCATCGCCAAGTACCCACTAGTGCAGTATCAGTTATAATAGGTGAGTAGTATGAGATCTAGCTCGTAGTACCAGTAAACACACCTACCCATACTTATGTTATGTACACACCTGTGTGGGTCTTAGGCCTATTGTATGATTACAACGGTCGTGATGGCTATACACCTCGTTTTTTACTATTCCTTTTTTATATCCCCTCAGATACCCTATGCCGTGCTTGCCATGGTCGATAACATGTGCAACGGCTTAACTGGTTCCGAACTCACGTGGGATCAATTCAAAGCCAACGTTGCCGCAAACAGACTCGTAGTAGAGAAGGCGCTCAGCCTGATTCTGGCCGTATTCGTAGATAAATAGCATTCCGTACCTGTGAATATGTACTCGTTTCACGGATATTTCTTATTGACTTTCCAGATGTGCGTGTAGCAGTACATATACCAACGGGTTTTCTTCGCGTTTCACGCCCGTGAAATCAGCAGACGATCGTACATATACCAGTATGTTAGGTTTTGTATAGTCCGATTTCAAGGTTGTAGGGTCTATTGTTCTAAATTGTCCGATCTTAAGGTTGTAGGGTATATTGTTCTAAATGGGAACCCTTAAGACTCCGGCCACTATGCCTAACATTCTCACACCCGGATGCTATGCCACCAATAATGCCTCCCATCGCTATGCCTAGCATTCTCGCCCCCCGCTGAATATACCCAACACTCGTGCACCTCTTACTGTAAACACCTAGAAAGCATTTATTGCGTTAGAAAGTCCAGTAGAAAGGGCGGGAAAGAAGTAGGTAATGAAAAAATTTACGTGCATATAAACTCCGGCAAAGTTGTTTTGCGATACTCTTGCTGCCAAAATGGGAGTGGTGCCATGTAGCGGCGCAGACTTGAAACGAGGTAAAGGGGTACTGACTTGCAACAGAAACGGTTCTACCGAAAAATTGAGGAATCGCCCAGAAAAGAGAAGATGTAAAACAGAGCAGAAAACTCACCAAGCACCAAAACAACGCATCAGGCGTTCCATAAAATGTGACTGCAAATTCAGGGTAGGGCTATTTATGCGCCCCACTCTTGCCTCCCTCCAACTTATGCGCCCCACTCTTGCTCCCCTCCCAAGTTAAGCGCCCCTCTCTTGCTCCCCTCCAAGTTAAGCGCCCCTCTCTCGCCCGCCTCGAAGTTAACTGCTATGACTAACTTAATAATGTTTTATGCATTTAGCTTAACTTTGTGCACATGGACGCACCGCCAGGTTTTAAGAAAACTCCATTTAAGAGTGGTGAGAAATATAACGGTTGGATGACGTCAGGCGCCCATCATTTATTACACACTGGAGGGTGCAACTCCAGTGATGAACAAGCAACTGTATCATTTGTAACAAGTGGGAAACTGTTCAAATGGGAAAACTTTGGAAACGAGGTAAGTAACTAATGTATTCAGAAAAGGTATATTTTATATGGAATATAAAGATGTTTAACAGAGGTGTGCTAGAGAGGAAGAGTTCAAATGAGATGAACTCAAAAACAATTCAATAACAAATTATATATATACAGACGAAGAGCGTCCTAGTTACCATGACCATGCGGAAATGTCCGACGAACGAGTTCCGAAAGTACATACTGTCGCTGCATCCATCGGAAGTATCCGTTACAGCCCAGACTATACATAACATCTGTGTCGTAAATTCTATCAGGATTCTTATGTCATGATGATTTGTTTTATAGTTTTATGACACACCATACTTCGCATACTTAGTTTAGATAACCTGTCACATGCTAAATATGAGCTTATTTATGCATGCATTCAAATTCAGAACGCGATCAAACACGCCATAAGATATAAGATGAGCAAGCAACTCTTTGACGACGTTAAGACCTTACCGTCTTATATAAAAAGGTCAAGCGTTTTTGCACCTGGTGAGGAAATATCAGACGAGTGCATCGAGGAGTTTGTGAAGATGTCGGAATGTGAAGAAGCAATGAACGCGTATGTATTTTAGGGTTTGTACGCATACACGATACTAAAATATCACTTCAAAAATATAGTAACCATTCGAATGCCACCCTCTAATGCCACCCTGTAATGCCCTTCTCTAATGCTCACCTCTAATGCTCACCTCAAAAGCGACTTTCTCAACTTCTTCAAATTGGCGCAATCTATGGACCTGCACCTGTATGTACGAACTCTGCACGACAAAGCGACCAATGTTCTAAAATGTGTTCTTTGGATGACGAATACCATGAGAAAGAATTACAGAAACTTTGGTCGAATAGTCAGTATGGATGCCCCGCCATAAGGGGAACAACGAGGTGGGGGTGGCAGATATCTATATTGGTAGGGCCGGGCAACGAGGGGAAAATCAAGTACTTCGGTACTATGCTGCTCCCCCGGTGTGCAAGAGAGGTGTGCGATTTTGGTATGCCAGAGAGGTGTGCGATAGAGGTGTGCGATAGAGGTGTGCGAGAAAGGTGTGCGATAGAGGTGTACGAGAGAGGTATGCGATAGAGGTGTACGAGAGAGGTATGCAGGCACGACATTGGGATCGTCGAAGCCATCGGCTGTCACCATGTAGGAGAGCCTTCCAACCAATGTACCAAGTATTCCGATTGTTGAGTCGCCTCATTATGACAGTCCGATATGATGTATCGAAATGTCGAGCCTCCCTCTCTCCATCGAGATTCATCCAATAGTGGTTCCGTAACCCGATGTACAAGCCTAATAATCTCCACATACACAAGTCGGTCTCTGAACTCAGGCGGCTTGCTGCCATCTTTCGCTCGCAGATGGTACCTCTGATTTTCCCGACTATGAATCACGTAGGGATCAAGCAATAGCTTCATGGCTTTGGTCGTCGCTCCCTATGGGAGTATCATAACGACGTCCCCAGTCTTAAATTCAATCATATCAAACTTGCGCATCTGAAGCCTGATGTAGTTTTGGCAGGATGGTCTTCTCCAAGTCATCCAACCTCTTTAGCCATGCATCATTCGTCGTAGGAATATGATCAGGTAAGTCATCAGTCATGTTTGCAAACGGGACATGTCGTCGACCAAATTAAACGCTGAATGGTGCTGACTTGTGACGTCGTGATATCCTAAGGTTCTGGTATAACATAGTGAACGGTAACCGTTCGTCCCACAACTCCGGACAACCAACACACAATGCGCGCACACATTTGTGAATTTCTTTATGTCGGCGTTCTGCCGCACCCAACGTTTGAGGGCAGTATGGTTGGGACGTCTTGTGTATAATGCCCAACGCTCGCGTATTGAATTTCACGGTATTGTTCACAAATTCGGTACCCTAGTCACTCTGAATCTTACGAGGAAATCCATGCTCACCAAATACTGGCACTAACTCTGCCGCCACTGTTTTTGCATCCTTCGCAGGTATCACCCGTAAATTGGGGGTCCCGACGCCACATCAAGCTCATATTTCAGGAACTTTTGTAGCGATCTGTCGCCTTCGTTTAGTCATCAACGGTTGTGCCCAATCTTCCTGATAACGTGTACTAGCGTCTTCACATACATGTACCTCCAGACCTAGGTCACATCAAAACGATGGATTGACTTTGTACCCAGATGGAGGGCCAGTACGTAACACGATAGTATGCTCCCACGGGTATTTACCACAAGCCTGTGAGCCGTCCTTCAAGAATGTGTGAGCTGTACGTGGGATAAGTAACGGGTCGTTAGGTCCAAAATGTTTCTGGACCTGGTCAAAGAAATCCGAAAACAACTTCCAACATGATGTATAGAACACCGCGGGGTAGTTGATATCCGCCGTGTCCTCATGAACACGACTCCACATGTCTGGTAACTTGTTTAGTTCTCCAGGTACATGTGTAATAGTAAAATTGAACTGTGCAATGATGTGATGCCACCGCTGCGACATACTATTCAATTTCAGCTGAGTGTTCATGTATATGAGAGCCTTATAATCTGTGTGCACAGTAAACCGCTGCCTAATGAGATGGTCATGAAAGTGAACCAGAGCATAGGTAAGTGCTAATAACTCTTTCATCGGGGTTGCATATGCCTGTTGTGCCTTGTTGAGAGTCTTCGAGAAGAACACCAGGTAATGTTTGCATCCGTCAATCAATTGAAACAATGCTCCACCAATACCATTATCGCTTGCATCCGTTTCTAACTCAAGTGGTACACCACCAACAGGAAAATTCAACCGGGCTGCCGACACGCTAGTCTCCTTCATTTGATCCCACGCCAATTGATGTTCTGGCTTCCAACGATCCCTAATGGGATCCTTTGGCTTAAGTTTAGAAAACGTTCGGAGTGGAGCCACTTTATATGCAAAGTTAGGTAAATGCTCATATAGAAAGTTTGCCAATCCTAACGCAGAAGCAATATTCCTCTGACACCGTGGAATTTGCCAGTCAATTAAACGTTGCTGTTTCTCATGATCCACATCAATCCCTTTAGCTGATATCTTCTTTCCCAGGACCATCACCTCTCGCACAGCAAAGTGATATTTCTTCTGATTAAGTTTGAAGTTGTTCTCCCGTCAGGCGTCGAATGACCTCTTGAACCGTAGCGATGTGCTCCTCTTAGTCGTCTGACGCAATTATTAGATCATCAACATAGCATTGCACGTCCAGTTACGTCATCAGATTGCTGATTGTGCGTTGAAATTGTGACGTGAGTGTCGTCAACCCAAAGAGAGCCGACGTGAACGAGTATTGCTGACTGTCTCATGTAAACGAAAACATGTGCTGCGAATGGAAGTGCACCGGTAAACGATGGTAGGCGGCCGATAAATCTAACGTGGTAAAGTACCGCTTGCCCTTCAAGTTGCTGATGATCTCGTTAACCTTCGGAAGTGTAAATTGATATCCCGGAATAAGAGCGTTGATCTGCCGTAGGTCCAAGCACACCCGCACTTTGATAAGTTCTCCCGACAGTGTGAATAATGGTACTGCCAACAATGGGAGGTTAACAATCGACACAGATGTTCGACGATTGGTGACCAATTTGTGTTCCTATTTGTGCACTTGCTTTGTTACATGTGGTTTGTACAAAGTTTCTTGTCTACCGACGTAAGCCCAAGAATTTATCTCGAGGTATAGGGAGTGACACTTCATTACCCGGGAGTGTACTGCGAGCCGCATCCGGAATTGTATCATTAGCATCCAGGTATTGGCGTAAGCGTTGTCGTACGTCATCTGGCTCGGACAAGTCTGGGGCCATTCGAAGATTAATCGGTTCCAGTAGTTCATCCATAACATTACGATTAATCTCTGGGAATGGAGATACTAATCCGGTTAAACCTAATCCCAACTCTCCCATAATATCCATACCCAGTATTATATCAATGTCATCTAGTAGGTTCATAAGTTCAAACGTACAACCCTCAGTAGTAGCTGACCCGTACTGGACCTTTGTTGCTTGTGTTTTGCCCAATCGTGGAGTCCGGAAGGCTTTGTCCGCCAAATATATGTAACTATCCTTGGCCGGTAGTGTAATAGAAAAGTGTGCCTTAGCAGCGGATGCCTGAGTGATGACTGAACGGTTGGCTCCCGTGTCAATAAGGGTGCGCATGTCATGTCCGTACACTTGTATAGTAACATATACACGGTTCGTGGTTGATCAGGCACGATATCACCGTCCCTTAAGCTAACACGAGGCCGGAAATTAGTACCTGATCCGTGAGTCCGCGTGTCGATGTGCTTGTGGCCGATGTACGTTAAACTGTAGCCCTACCATGTTGTGCACGGCTACCTGTGCCAGCCTGGACCGGTAGTCGTTGTAAGTTAGGACATCGACTTGCATGTCCTGGTCCCGGCGGAATGTTCTGCTCACATGATCGACAACGAACATGTGGGTTCAACGTAGGCGGTGCATGCGGGTTAGCGCGTGTATTCACCTCCGTACGTAAATTTGAACGTGCTCGCGAGTTCCTCGGAATTCGTTGTGGTCGCGAGAGCTTGTCCTGGCGATTTTCTTCTGCTTTGTCATGTTCACACGGAATACATCACGCATCTTCTCAGACGAGCAGTTTCGCCAATGTGGATGCATTCGAAGAGTATCACGGTAGTATGCCCCACCTGCAGCTTGGCGTATAAGATTAGGTATACCATGGTTGTGGTATACCTGTAGGGGGTTCTTATACTGTCGTATTTCCATGAACTCAACCTTGCGTTTAAAATCACGAATCTGAGTATCAAGCGGAACCTATGGCTTCAGCTTCATGCACGCTAACACCTGGCGGTATGCAGGTCTTGTTCCTGTGTGCGTACAATAAAAGCGATGGCATCCTCAAATGTCATAGACTGCTATTTTGCTCGTTCTCCACAATAAAATCCAATCGCGCCTTAGGAGCCCCTTCATGCTGTAGAGCTCGGTGTAAACCCATTTGCATATGAATCGATTCTAGCTTATGGTATCGCGCATTCTTGTGCCAGTCCAAGATAAAGGCATGCAACTGTATTTTCTTCGGATTATCCAAATAATAGTTGCCCTGTGGGTTGGGCGTCCATTCCTTCGGTGTTCGTTTGTCGACCGTTGCTGAGCACGTCTTCAGAGTCTCATTTGATGACGCACGAATTAGACCCTGCAGCGCACGCTTTGTCTATGCGTCCTTCTGCTTCTGCATGCATCATCCGTTGAGTCAGTTGAAAACTTGCATCTTCATCTCGGCTGCTGTCGATGCAGCTAGGTTCCGTAGGTTCCGAACGCTTATAACGTTGCATCGCCTGTGGGTCTTCCAAGTAGCGGTCGTGATGAACAGGAAAGTGTTTGCGATATGCAATTGTATCAATAGGAACATTCGCCGTATCCTGACAATTCTCCTGTAACTCTTCTGATCGTGGGCGACGGTGATGTTGCAACTTGTCACGAAATAAGTTCGTTGCCACGTGACCCTGGTTCATCTGTTGCTGCGGAGATTTCATCATTCTGTGGAAGGCATTAAAAGAACTGAATTCCGAAGTGTGTCCATGTCCAAGTGCAAACCCGCAGGTTTCAAAAAAAAATCTGCCAGGCGATTTCACCAAAGTTGTCGATACCTGATCCCAATTCGGATCACAAAAATCAGCTGGAATCTCATCAGGGGTCGGAATTGTCTGTGCTCGATTTTGAGCGTTCTTCAACATCTGCTCTCTGCGAGTAGAAAAACCCTAAGAAGCCACTTGAGGTACGATCTTCATGCGGCCAATTCTGCGCTTCACCGGGCTAATTTGCCTCATGTTGTTAACCCCGCTGTCAAGTATCTGGTCGGTTGGTGTCGACCCTGCCTGCGTTGGGTATTTAGGAGCCCAATGTTGTTGCACTGTTGGTGCGGCCTAAGTCTCAGCGAAATCATCGTCCACTGTCAAGGGGCGTAGACGTGTCAATATCCGCCAGTGACAATTCACGGAGTTGGCGGAGTTGCTCTTGAATGAGTTGAATATTTTTCGTGGCCTCCTGCACATGCATCGTCGTATTCAAGTGTCCTTGATCAGAAATCCAGTATTGGAATTGTCTAAACTTACCCAGGGTTTTGATTAAGATTGGGCTTCCGAAACCAATCGAGTCAATTTCAAATGGATTTCCACCTTCTTTTCGTGAAAAGCTCTAATGGGGATGAGAATCAATCATCGCCAGAGTTCGAGGAACCAGATTTTTCGGGACCCGATTACCAGTCGGCGTCCACCAAGCGTTTGAAACCGTCCAAGACTACGAAGGCGATGGCTTGATGACGAAGGAGATGATCAGTGACTACATGGCATGAAGAAGACGGACGCACCTATTGACGAGATTTCGGAGAGTGACAGGAAGATTGCTGATTTCACTGCTCGGATGCTTGATGCAAAAAAAGAGGCGACGCTAGCAATGGATCAGGGGAAGATTGAGCAAGCCAGTTTGCGGATGACAATGGCAAGGCACTTTCAATCCAAGATCAATACGGAGCTACGCATCATACACGCTAGAAAGACTGTGGACAACAAGACGTTTGTCAAGGACATAGGTATATTACCCACTACGTATCGTCCTGATCGAAAAGACGGGAAGGCCCTATTGATACGAGTGACTTAGCGTTATTGTCGAGATCTTTGAAGGAATTCGGTCAAATCATGCTTCCTGCAAATCTACGTAAGAACCTTTGGTTCGAGGCCGCGCAACAGAGTTTTAAGCCATCATCTTATATGTATAGTAAGTTGGAGAAGGCGAAGGCTTCTGTGACAAAGCTGAAAACGTGGAAAGAGCAAAGTGAGATGATAGGCCATCTGTTCTCAACAGACCCCCGACTGGAACTGTTGGTATCTATCATGGTACCACTGGATGAAGGGACACCAGTGACACACTACCTCTTGGAACTGGACACCCATATATCACGTGCTCAGACACAAAAAATGTCAGCCGACAGGTTGAGCATGTGCGTGTTGTGGGTACAAACAATCTTTTGGTCGGCTGTTCACCGAAAAGACCAAGAGATATTGTACGCAGACATGCACCTATCGTATCCAGACAAGGTACGTGAGATTTCAATTGAAGGACCAACCTATGGTACCATGAAACTCGCCGACTTGACATGAACTGAATTTTATTCGAGAGTAGAACAGACATTTTCAAAACGCCCGAGTTCTGTGGTGAAATTGATACAGCCGAGTAAGAAGGTTGTACCGAACGTGAATGGAGGACCAGGTAATGGTCGAGACTCTCATACGGGAACGGGAAATAATACAGGGAACAAAGGTGGGGACAGTGGTGGCCAAAAGAACAAGCCTGTACAAAGTACTGATGGTTACATGAACAATGTCAATACTCGCGGGACCTTGGGTAACAAATCTGCTCAGGCGGTCGAACCTCCTAAACCGAAGTACAAGGAGATCAGGGACTGTGCTGAGACAGATTGCAGCTGGCGCATGACCCAACATGAGCCGAATGGACGCTGGAATGGCAGGCACGCAAAGAAATGTAAACATTTTATTACGAAGTGTGCAGACTGCGCAGGGACTGGAGGTTACCACAAACACATGTGTATGGTGCAACCGAAAGTAGATGTTAAGTGACAATCTTACCGGATCTTGGCACTGAAACAGAAGGATACGCCGCAAGATGAGCGCGTCATTCTAGATGTACAAGTTAATGGGCATGAAATAAAAGTGTTGTTGGATCCGGGCTCGCGAATTCTATGTATATCATCGAGATTCTGTAAGATAACTTATGTAACTCGTAAATCAGAACCTACAATGATAAAACTAGCTGACGAAAGAGAGATCACGTGTCGTGTCATGGCCGTAGATCTGAGGTGTACCCTCATCGATCAACGGACAACAGTTACAAAGGCAATCGTCTGTAACGCTCTGCCAGACTATGATTTAATAGTGACGAAGGGGGATATGTTGTTGTTAGATATAACGATTACCGGTTTACCGACAAACATAGACCCACAGAAGGACGAGTCAGATGACAATCTGCTGAAGCCTGTAAACAAGCCTTCTAAGACTATGAGAGAAATGATACCTCAATTTACAAAGAAGCTAAAGGATTTTATCTCTGAGAATAACAAGATCGAGATTACCGACTGGGTTCAGTTTAAATTCAGCAATGTATACGTGAGCTTAGACCCGACAAAAGTTGGAATGTCCAACGCGAAACTACGTAGCATGGTGTCACGAATAGGTAGTCCGAGAAGACGGAGTAATTGCAGTCAACTACGAACCGACCCCAGTTAACCTTGCACTCTTGGCGGTAGACCAGTTTAAATCAGGTGGTATGTTAAAGAAGGTTCACGTGTGCTTAGATATGAGCCCTATAAACGCTCTTATTCATACACACAATTTTCATTTACCGAGAGCTAATGAATTGCTGAAAAGAATGGAAGGGGCGAAGATATTTTCGACCATCGATTGGATGCAGGGCTACCACCAAATGAATATATACAAACCACACCGGAAGTATTTTATCTTCACTTGGGATGGACAGCAGTATTCGTTCAAGGGAGCATCATTTGGTCTACATATGGTGCCAGCCTTCTTTCAGCAGATCATGCGGTACCTGTATAGAGACATGGACAATGTACAGGTATATATCGATGATATTGTGGTGTTTACCGAGAACAAAGAGGAGTATGATTGAGTTGTGCACGAAGTTTTACCTAGGCTTAACAAGCACAAGCACAAAATCAACAGGTTTGGTGTAAACGAGATACAGCTGTTGAGATACCGAGTCTCCGGGGATGGTATTATGATCGACCCCGGAAAGATCGAACAGTTGCTAGATTGGAGAACCCCCACTACAGGCAAGGGCGTTAATAGCATGTGCGGATTCATCAACGTCCTGTCAGATGGAGTTCCACACTTGACAAGCTATCTTAAGTCTTTCGGGCATTTACGTTGTCACAAGGGTAAATTAGGAGCGTTGTGGACCAAAGAATGTGATGATGCCTTTAAGCAGCTCAAACAGTGGTTCAGCAAGCTCCAGTAGTCCAGCCGCCGAAAGATGGAGTTCCCTTCATGGTGGCTACCGATGCATCCGACATGGAGTTAGGAGGCGTGCTGTATCAAATGATAGATGGGAAACCAAGATAAGTGCAATTCTTTAGCAAGGCTATGAATTCGTCACAAATCAACTACTCGACGGTGCAACAAGAGCTATTAGCTATTATGACTACACTCACTCATTTTAAAGACTACCTATACGGTACACATTTCAATGTACAGTGCGATCAGAAATCGTTGCAACACTTAAAGGATATAAAACCCAATTCACAATCGGTCAGTCGATCGCGAAATTTTCGTTTAGCATCACACATATACGGGGAAAACATAATCACTTACCGGATATGCTGTCACGCTTTGTAACGGACTTCAACAAGATGGTCCGGGAGTACTAGCTACGGATCGGATGGCCGATCCTAAGTGGTTCAAGATTACAGACAACATATATGGTCCACATACCATTGATATGTTTGCAGCACATCATAATGCGCAGCTGCTGAGATACCGGACTCTGGAACATCCAGACGGTGATGCGTTCCAAATCAACTCGACTTAACAGACGAGAACGCATGGGTGCATCCACCGTAGTTGTAGATACCACAGTTGCTAAATTATGTACATATACAAGATGCTATCATCACGTTGTGTCGTCCCCTTAGACATTCAGATAAAAGGCCCCCTCAGTGGATATCAATGATACAATGAGGGCCCATATATGTGGATGGAGAGGTAGACACTTTCCTCTACGAGGGTACTCGTGCAGTCCAGAAGACGCCTTGGAGACATATAATCATATGTCGAATAGGTCTGGAGACAATCTGAGACCTTCAAGCGTAAGGTTGAAGAATCCAAGACCCCACTCTTGATACTTATGTCTCAACGAGAGACGGGGACGACGCACCCACCTGCAATATACGTTACCGAGGTCCGATCTGATCCTAAAGAATCAAAGAGGAACTCATCGCTAACGAAAGCATTCTACAAGAAGATACGTTCTGACAGAGCAACTGCATACGAAGCCGAGACAAGGTTATTCAAAGCATTTGATGAACGATCTTTCAGATGTAAACGACCGTGTAAATCAACTAATGGACAAGGCGAACACTAGTAGAATTCCTACGGCCGATCGTTCAGGCGAGATTGGACCAGACGAGTCTTCAAGTCTAAGTGATGTAGTAGTGAAATCCTCAGCTCTAGACTTTGACACAGCAAGTTCATCAGAGGAAGACATTCTGAAATGGCTAAGGCAGAATCATGCGCGTAAATACATGGATAAGGTTACGACTGAGAAAGATTGCAAAAGGTACGGGATTGTACACCCAAAGCTTAAGCAATATATATTTCACGTGTATCACGAATGCAATGACTGCGAAATTAAACGAATCAAGCACTACGGGTATGCACCATTGCGAAGCGTATCAGAAGACGAGCCGTGGCGCAGGGTTATCATTGATTTGGTCGAGCTACCCATGTCCGCAAACGCGAAAGATAAGTATGTCTGTCACGTGTTTGATGTTGCTTCAAGATATAGCGTACTATATCCTCTGAAAGATAAATTAACACAAACTGTGGCTGAGTGATATATAAATATCTCTCAGATTTCGGCTGGCCAGCTAATATATGTACTGACAACGGTAGTGGGTTTACAGGAGACGTCATGGCGAAACTTTTACTCGTTGCGAGATCATGCCACACAAGATGGGTGTACCTTATAAGCCTCAGACACAAGGTGCGAATGAAGTACGACACAGAAAAATGAAGGTGTCCATGTGTGGAGCGTTGCTAGATGATGCTGACATGTGGCCTTACTCAATTAACTGGGTACAGACACAAATGAACAGGACACCGGATTCAGTCACTGGTACATCACATTATAGTGAACTACAACGGTATAGTGTACTACAAGTACCTTTCAGCAAGAATTCTCAGGACGACCATGTGTTACCATAGTTAGATAAGATAGTTGTTCATGTGTGGGGCGTTTCTAGACGATGACATGTGGCCTTACTCAATTAACTGAGTACAGACACAAATAAACGAAACACCGGATTCAGTCACTGGTGCATCACATTATAGTGAACTACAACGGTTTGGTGTACTACAAGTACCTTTCAGCAAGAATTCTCAGGAAGACCCTGTGTTACCATAGTTAGAGAAGATGCGTCATAACAGAGATGTCGTCTTTCCTTGCTTGAGAGAGATAAAGGATATCGCACTCAAGAAGACAGAAGCGATGGAATGATCCGAAGAATATAGTCGAGTTTGAGGTTGACGATATAGCCAACATCATGGCTCGCAACTCCAATAGCGAAACTCACGAAGTTAACAATGTTGACGGTTCAAGTGCTCTTAATAGCCGATCACATTAAATTCCGACGACAGAAATTATCCTTCGTCACACACATGAAGCTACTACATCTCCTATGTTTTACGAATTCAAAACATTTCTTGGGAAGTACAAACATGAGGACATGACTTAATACACGACGGAGTTTGCAGACGGCGCACAATACGATCTACCCCCATCGGTATTCGATGATTCACATGTTTTGAAGGCTTTTAATAATAAGTTTCGCAAACGCCTATACAAGGACAAGGCAGACGTAGAAGCTAACTTACCTACAAACAAACTTCCTAATGTAGATATGGTTTAACCGCAGACATAATTCATTCCAAGTTTCAAAGACCATGGGATGTACGTACCCCCTAAAGGCACTTATATATATATACATATATATATATATATATATATGTATATATAATATATATATAAATATGTATAAATATTGATATGTGTGTGTGGCGTCTAGTCAAAGATCATTCATTCTCTATATTTTAGTACATACACTATATACTGATACATACTAATTATGTATATACAGTAGAATATAGTTTGGTATAGTTTAAATAATACCGTCCCATAGATCAGAAGGCTAATAGTTCTTGATAATACATCGCTAACATCATAGAGAGACCCGAAGACTACGACTCGAAATCGGAAAGCTCTGGTTCAAAAGCGGAAGGCTATGTTTCTAGCTCGAATTCCCATATCTCATTGGTTCAAATTATTGAATTTTCAGTGGATCTTCAAGACTGGATTTTCGAAAATCGAGTATGTAGTGCGAGAAGTCAAGAACATATGTTTTCTAAACAAAGTGTGGGACCAGGTTTAAAATCCTTCTCCTCAATATATAAACCTAACTAGGGGGTTCGATTGCGCACATTGTCATGTGCTACTGTTTCATTTAGAAGGCTACAATGGCTACAAGATTGTTCGCCCACAATTTTCCTTATATTTAAATACACAACTATATTCTAAATAGGCATGTTTTTGTCCCAATACAAAGGCTATGTGCCTATGAGCCGATGACAAGGTTTATACTTTATACAAGGTAAAGGCAGGCAAAATAACTAGTTTACATACATATAACAAACTCACGGAATCACAGCCTCACAGGCCAAAAACAGCTCACACCGTCATACGACGTTCGTATACCTTTTGGTTTTATTTTTAAATAACATTAAAAAAAAAGCCAAACGGCCTGGGTGTGGGCCTTTGGCCTTTTATATTTTGCCAAGGATACATCAGATTGGACCAATACGAATGTTCATTAATAATGACATCACCACCTGCGTCATAAAGTCTACATAGCGATGATAATAATTTTTTTATAAAAGAATATTTTTAAATACTGTCTTTCGGTCTTTCACCAGTCCAATACCCACCAGTTCCCCACCGGCCACCAAGGCCAGTGAGGCGGTGACAGTGAGGCCCAGGCTTTACAGTTAACACTCTTCACTTCCCACTGCCACTCCCCAGAGTCCCAGACTCCCCACACACCAATCATCCACAGCCCACAGGCGCCACACAGTTGCATTAATCATTATGCTATTTAAATATATGTATTTGATGTTGTAATTGTCGAGTATAAAAAATATGAAGCGGAGTCACGTTATTCTCAGTCTTCAGCGAAACAACAACTATGGTGTTGCATCGTGGGCTCAGGGAGTCTGACCATGTTCCATTCCAGCGCAAATTGTTGCTTAAGACTGGAATTGGATAACACCTTCGGCAGCATCAATTCCCTGCTGCCAAATCAATTTGGGATCGAACCAGGCATGGCTTCGAACTGCAACAATCCCCAGAGAATATGCTGTCATGGCTGTCACATCACCCACAGTGTTGTGTACTGCTTTTTCAACTAAACATCGAAATCAGTCATGAATTCAACTGCAACAATCCAGCGCATGATTGCGGCAGCACTAATTCCCTGCTGTCTCATCAATCAGGAATGGAAGCCAAACTTGGCTATGCACGGCAACAAACCCCCAAGAATATACTGAGTGTGACATCCACATCACCGACGGTGTGTGCTACTTTGTCAGTAAAAAAATCGAAGTCAGTAATGCAACATTTCAGTGCAAAGCTAGAAGCAGTCGTACCGTCGTACTCCCGACTGCCTTTTTGACAAGGATTTAGGTCAGGCGCGCTTGCGCTCTGTATCAAACTGCAGTTAAATGGCTGGTATAGCAGCCTGTATCCAATAGTCATCGATCCCAGTGAACTCTCATGTAGAAATGGATATATGACAAATTGTGCACAAATCGTGAAGACCAGTTTGCCTGTCTCATCCGGTATTTTTTAGAGAAAGCTCCGCCGCAAGGGAGGACTACCATTTGGAGTCTTCTTGCAAGATTGATATGCGATGATTGAATAATAGATATTTTGTCCGACAGATATATAAAGTACTATACATCCCACTACACGTGTCATATGATGCATGTAATAAACATGTATGTAAAGAAATATACTTTTGGCTGGATCAGATACAATATTTAGTATACGGAGGATTGATACAACGTGAATGTCGTATTACTTTCATCCAGGTAGAGACAGGAAAGCATGGATTCTACACAAAGAATGATACGGCAAAAGTACTATTTACGGAGAGATTGTGCATTTATTAAACTAGTTTGTGCGTACACAAGAACAACAACGAACGTACGGAATTGCCATCGTGTGCGGGGCATTTAAAGCAATTCTGATGATGTATAGCGAATACAATATCTCGGGTCAGTAAGTTTCATGAGAACATCCTTTTAGTGAATTTCCCTTGTTCTACAACTGCAGAAATAGATTAGCAATATGCTATCACATGATGCGACAGCCAACAATTACAACCCACAGCTTGTCCGGCCTCTGTATACGACCGCTAATAGCAAATATAACTAAGGCACACCAACAAATCTGTGTAGGTGAATGAACTCATGAGATTGTTAGGCCCTGCTTGCATACCCGACTTTATATACTGTTCTGGACAGTGAACCTTTTCTGGCAGCCCGTGCGAATACTGTCCATTTAGGTTACAAAATAAACGGAAATCATTGTTCTACCATGTGTATGCCTTGAATAACGGAGTATGTGTAGATTGTGTATTCGTCTGCGGATTCAATTATTGGAGTATACAATCATCCTCAAATCCATTTAGTATACGAAAGTTGCACATGTATGTCCTGACACTATGATTTGTGCGTCTTATACTACCATAAACCTCTTAATGTGTCTGTCATATACCTTCGTGACATGGCTGCACATAGAATACACACGTCGGCATCGAGTTCAAATCAAGGCACATTAAATGAAGTTCGGAGTGACGCCGAAGATTTCAATAACTACCACTTTTATTTAACGTTCTTGAGAATGTTCTAGCAACATACGAGGAATATCAGCGAATTATCTTAGTACGCGTATACGCAAGACAGTCATCATACAGGTTGTAGTCGCGAGTTCTGAGTTCGCATATTGAATCGATAATCAACTTTGCGCAGTCAAAATTTACTGCTCGAGTCTACAATTCATCTGATAATAAAGGTGCGTTACTAGCGGGACAAGATACTTATTGGTTGCTGCTTGGCTAGCTCTGTTGTTGGAATCAATATTTTGAACGGTATCTGTCTGGTGTGTATTGCTGCAGCATTTATCATCTATATTCACTATTTTAACACCATATTAACATTATATTAACACTAATATATACTTTTACATGTACATGCTTTTGTAAAAAGTATTTATGCAACCAACAACAATCCATGAGCCAGGAATCAAGAGGCTTTTTCGTATGCCCATTTATGTGCGTGCGTGTGTGTGTACACATGTATGCGTGAACGTATGCGAGTGTGCGCGTGCGTGTGCGTATGTATGTACGTGTGCATGTGTGTGCATACGTGTGCATACGTGTGCGTGAGTGTGTGTAAGTATGTATCATTGCAGTGAACGTTTTATCTGAAAAGAAGATAGAAATGCTCACTCAAATCCCGATGGTTATAAAAACTGTAACGAACACAAACGTTAAAGTCTAAGTTGAGGGTTTAAACGTTTTGGTTTTAACGAGAAACAAACGGAAGTAATATTTCTAAAAAAGCTTTTTGACTATGTACACGTGCAAGCACTGCGTGTCCATTTACGACTCTTATCACTTATTTAGTTTATCATCAATCTTTATATTTACATATCTATATGTAAACCACAGAGTATTCCAGTCCGATAAGACAATCGTTGGCGGAGTTAAGACTAGCTATTCCATTAACGAGCACTCGAACAGATCAATACAATTCTGAATATGGTATGCGGTTACTTCACAACTCGCTACTAGAATAACTGATGTATAACTCAAGTTTACCAACAGGAAAGGGACTTTCATTAGTTGCTTAATCAAAAACGCAAGCTGTAAGAAGGCCCTATCGTAATTTACAACACTCGCGATGGGCCTGTTCCTAATTTTCGATACATTCATACACATGGCAATCCTCTGATATTCTCGGACTCCGGTCCGCATGTCTACAACAATCATCCATTCGCATACAAGCGTGAGCGATCGCTTACAACCCTATGTATTGTTTCACAAAATCACACCCACCCACACACACACACACACATAT